AAACTTAGGGTCCTCGTGCTTTTGTTTCTTGTAATCCTTATTTTGCAAGACCAGCATTCAGCAGATCATACTCTGTGAAGTGCTGATGTGCAGGATTTGGTGTCTGTGTTGTCAGAAGCCTGGAGAAAGGTGAATGGTGTGCTCGACTGATGTTGCTGTGACTATTAGAGGAGAAGCAGGAGGGGTCAGGTGGGGAGTGGGCAGGTGGGGAGGGGTCAGGCTGTGGCTGGGGTGTCCTTACATGAAAGAAAACACAGTATCAGAGAGGCAGAGACATTCTGCTGCTGAGGGCAATAGCTTTAGTGTCACATGGGGAGTAGGGATGTGACATGCCTGCACTTGAATTGTTCTCTGACTCTGGGATGGGAGAGGCTGATGTGGTGAGGCATCAGGTGGCCTGTGTGATGTGTCTCCCTGGGATAGGCACATGGCACTGTCGCCCGTGGAGCACCTGCTCCAGATGGGGCATCTCAGGGCTGTCATCCGTGGAACACCCCTGGAGAAACTACACCAGATGAGGTGTCTCAGGGCTGTCACCCACAGACCACACTGGGGAACCCATCCAGATGAGGTGTCTCAGGGCTGTCACCCTTGGAACAGCCCTTAAGAATCCACTCCAGATGGGGTGTCTCAGCACTGTCTCTCACAGAGCACCCCTGGAGCACCCGCTCCAGATGGGATGTGTCAGGGTTTCTCCAAGCAGCAGGCTCACACACCTTAGGTCTAGGGGGCTGCCTGTCCCTTGCTGTTAAAAGAGGTGTGTGTACCCAGGTGCTCAGGGCAGGAGGTAAAACAGTGCTCTCGGAAGTCCTTGCCAGCACAGACTCTGATCATTAAAGGGAGAAAACGTTAAGCCAATCTGAGAAGTAAAACACGGCACCTTTGTATTTCAGTTAGTTCTTATTTATTTATTTGGAGTCTGGGTCTGTCTCTGTCACCCAGGCTGCAGTACAGTGGCACGATCATGGCTTACCACAGCCTCGACCTCCTGGGCCCAGATGATCCTTCCACGTCAGCCTCCTAGACAGCTGGGACTAGAGACATGTACTACCAAGCCTAGGCAGCTGGGACTAAAGGCGTGCACTACCACGCCCGGCGAATCTTTTGATTTTTTTGTAGAGATGACGTCTTGCTGTGTCGCCTAGGCTGATCTGGAACTCCTGGACTCAAGTAATTCTCCTGTCTGGGGCTCCCAAAGTGCTGGGGTTATAGGCGTGACCCACCAGGGCTGGCCTCAATTAGCTTTCAAAAATTACTGGTGATGTTGGATTTTGTTTCAATTTATTTTGTCCCTTGTGTGTCTTTTGTGGAAAGCTTTTAAAAATTTTGTGTTTTACTTTGTCTTCATCCTAAAATTGGATAACTATTCACCTCTGCTCCTTCTCACTTCATTTTAAATGGTCTTGGTCTTTACGGTGGCTGTTGTGCATTCTTCTAGGTTTGATTTCTAGTGTGTGACTTAAGGGCAAGCTCAAACCTTGATTTCTTCTGCGTATCATTCTGGCTGTTCATTGTTTCTGCTGAACATTTAAAAACCACAAGTGGCCTTTTGTACATAGGGGCCTAGGTCACTCACGGTGGGCCTCGTCACTGGAGATGAGCTTGTGTGAAGATTCCTGTGGAGTCCCATGAATGACTTATTTTAGGTGCCTATCTTTCCAGGCAGCGGGCTCTGACCGCCTCACCCTAGTGAAGCCTCCACCATCCGCTCACTGTCCTTGCCCTTGATGAGCTGACTGTGCCCAGGGCTAGCGAGGCACCCAGTGGAGAACGGTTCCTGGAAGGGACTGTCTGTGAGCTTGGCCATTGTTCTCCTACAGCTGGGGGGATGGAGGTTTGCAGGTGAAGAGACCAAAGCCTGGGGAAGGTAGGCCGCAGCACTGGGTTGGGGACAGTTCCTGGAAAGGACTGTGAGCTTGGCTGTCGTGTCATCCTCCTGCAGCTGTGGGGGTTGCAGGTGAAGAGACCAAGGGCGGGTCACAGTACCAGGCTGGGAATAGCATGGGCCAGGAGCCAGCCTGTGGGCAGAGTGCCTGAGCCTGTCACACCAGCCTGTGCCTCCGGCCCAGAAAGCCCTGGTCATAGCCACCTCTTCCAGCTGGACATCCTCTTTACCCAGGGCCTGGCCTAGCTAACCTTCCTTCTGCCCTTGGCTTCTTGTCTCTCACCTTGTGTGTTTCTCAGGGGCTTCCCAGAAGCCTTGTGTGTTTCTTATGGGCTCCCGTGAGGCACCAGGACCTCAAGTGACCCTGGGAGACATTTCCGGCCTTGTGGGTTTCTTGTGGGCTCTTGTGAGACAGCAGGACCTCAAGTGACCCTGGGAGACATTTCCTGGGGATGCAGCTAGTCTGCCTGTCTGTGCCTGGGCTGGGCTGCTCTTTCTCTGCCTTCCATCAGTTCCTGAATCTTCATGACCTTGGGCACCACTGTGTCCCTTCTCCAGCTCCCAGAAGACATGAGGTCCTAAGCCTCAGGGACCACGAGAGGCTGTGGCCACTTTTGAGGAGCCATCCTGGCCCCTTCCTCTAGGATAGCCTCTGAGGGTCCATCCTGTCCCTCTTCCCCCAGGAAAGCCTCTGTGAGTCCATCCTGGTCCCCTGTCTCCAGAAGAGCCTCTGAGGATCTGTCCTGTCCCCAGGAGAGCCTCTGTGGATCAGTCCTGTCCCTCTGGAGAGCCTCTGTGGATGTGTCCCCAGGAGAGCCTCTGTGGGTCCATCCTGGTCCCCCGCTCCCAGGAGACCCTCTTAGAATCCGCTCCATCCCTCAGGAGAGCCTCTGTGGCTTTTCCTGGTTGCTAGGAGCCTTGCCTGCAACCTGCGTCCTGTTCTGGAGCATTTCTTCCCTATGGCCCAGGCAAACCTTCCAAAGACATGCCCGTAAGGGCTGAGAGACCAGGCCGTGTCCAGTGTTGTTGTTTACAAATTGTTGGCAGTGCGCATCATTGTGAGTTTTGCGAAAGTTTGTCTTCTTGAGTAATTTTGCAGTAATTTTTTCTTTTCTTTTTTTTTTTTTGAGTTGGAGTCTCACTCCATTTCCCAGGCTGGAGTGCAGTGGCATGTTCTTGGCCATCCCAGTGTCGACCTGATGGTCTCAGACGATCCTTCTGCCTCAGCCTTCCAAGTAGCCAGAACTACAGGCACGCACTACCATGTCTGGCTAATTTTTTGATTTATGTAGAGATGAGGTCTCACCAAGTTGCCCAGGCAGTTCTCAAACCTGTGGGCTCAGGCAATCCTCTCACCTCGGCCTCCCAAAGTGCTGGGATTACAGGCTTGAGCCACCATGCCCGGCCTAGTTTCTTCTTGTGGTGGCCAGGCGGGATGGGATTGGGGACAGCATCTGGGGCTGCTCAGCTACTTCCAGGTAGTGGGGTCCTGGGCTCTGGGGTTCTGCTCCTGCTCTGTGATGATAAGGCGCCCTGCTAGGCGTGTGCCTGTTGGGCAGTGGTTTAGGAGCTTTGGGGGTTGGGACTGGCTCTTGGTGATGTTACCCTGAGGTGGCCTCCATGGACCCTTCAAGATGGCCCAGCTGCAGGAGTGTGGGGCAGGGGGCTGTTGTGGTTGTTGCCCGGTGCCCCAGGTTTGGATAGTGGGGAACTTAGGCAGTTCTGTTGACTAGCAGTTCCAGTTCTGGAAACGCCCTTCAGGCCAGACTCTCTGAGCCTGGTGGTGCTGGGCCCTGCCCTGGAGCTTGCAGGATGGGTCAGACTTGGGTTTTTAACCTCATGTGCCAGCCCAGGGGCCCATGTCCCAACTCTGTGGTGCCCCTGGGGGCCAAAGATGAGACCCCGGGTTCTGCCAGTCACTAGGCTGTGATTCTGCCCTTGTAGCTGAGCTGGTGACAGACTCAACATGAATGAAGGGTCAGCAGGGCGATCTAGGAGCCCTTGGCTGGGAAAGGGCAGGGGCTGGGGAGAAAGGGCGGGGATGGGGGTTGGGGAGGCCTTGTTCAGGGGTCAGGTCTTAGGTTGGGGGTGGAGGGCATGTCCTTAGCTGCCTTGTCATCTTCTTGTGGGTTGGAAGTCCGGTGCTGGCCCTCTGCTGCCCTGCTGATCCTTTGAGCTGCTCTGCCTAGTGGTGTTGCCTCACCCTGGCAGAAAGTGGGGCTGCTGTGATCTAGAGACAGTTTCTAGACTTCTCTATGCAGGAGGGTCTTAGACATCTGGGCCGTGCTGAGGGAGGAGATCTGGGACCCTCGCCTGTACCTGGACCTCGTTGAGGCTTTGTGTTGGGACCAGGGATTCTGGTGAGGGGTCCTGATCAGGCTGTCCAGGGGTCTTGTGCCCTTCCCCCTGAGCCCTATCTCCCATGGTGTCTAGAAACAGAGGCCTCAGTGTCCCAGCCACATGGGTGTTAAGGTCTCTCTGCAGGCTGCTGAGGACCTGGGTGGGAGTGGCGGCTGTGGCCATGTGGGTCTCTCCCCCAACACAGGTCTCTCCCCCTTATGCAGGTCTCTGCCACCACATGGAGATTTCCTCTCCACCTGGGTCTCTTCCTCACACAGGTCTCTCCCTCCATGGGTCTCTCCCTGCACAGGCCTCTCCCCCTAACATGGGTGGGGTCTCCTCTCCGAAGTAGGTCTTTTCCCTCTATGTGGGTCTCTCCCCTGCCATGGGTCTCTTTCCTCAGAGGTCTCTCCCCTCCAACGTGACTGGAGTCTCCCCCCAGTGCAGGTCTCTGTTCCCACAGGCCTCTCCCCCGGACATGGGTGGAGTCTTTCCTCCTTCACAGGTCTGTCCCCACCAACAGGGGCCTCTCCCCCACCCATGAGTCTCTTCTCCCCCAAGAGTCTCTCCTCTACCAATGGTCTCTCCCCCTACGGGTCCCTTCCCAGCATGGGTGGGCTCTCTTCCGCCATGGGTCTCTACTCTTGATGTGAGTGGGTTCTTCCCCCCATACAGGCCTCTTCCCCATGGGTCTCTCCCTGCAGTGCAAGTCTCCCCCCCCCACAGTATCTCCCCCCATGGGCCTCTCCCCTTGACATGGGTGGGCTCTCTCCCCAGGTTCGGGAGGCACTTTGAGGCCCCGCTGTTGTGGCAGAGCGTGGTCATGATCCTCACCATGCTGCTGATGCTGCGGCTCTGCACCCAGGTCCGTGTAGCCAACGAGCTCAACATGAAGCGCCGCAGCTTTGCAGGTAGGTGACGAGCAATGTCTGCAGATGGCCCCGCTGTGTCCACAGGCAGCCTTGCTTGCGTCCACTTGGTGATGTGTGAAAGCCGCTTTCACCTGTCTAAGCAGCTTCCATCTCCCCAGGGGTTCTGACATCTGTCTGGCAGAGGGTTCTGTGTGTCCAGTGGCCTTGATTAGAGGTGGATGGCATGAAGGACTCCAGACAGCAGGTCCACGCCGGCTAGCGGGGCTCGACTGATCTTCAGAGTACCTCCTGGCTGTGAATAGTGTCACGTGCAGGTTCTGTGCCAGGGGAGGAGGTGCGTGTCTGTCTGTCCTGTGCCTGAGACGTGGTTTTATTTCTTAGTGTGTGGCTGGAACATAAACACTTTCCATGTGACCATCACCCATGACTGGTTAACTGGGTCTTTCTCATGTGCCTGTGGATTGGCACCCTGATTGTTCTCACGGATCTGGTTGACTCCCTTGTCTGGAGTGCATGTGTAGGGTCTGCATGCTCTCCAGTGTTGTAATCTGGGTGGGACCAATCACACGCTTAGCACATGCCACTCCTTAACTTTGACGGCTCAGGAAATACAACCTACTTCTTCTGTTTTTGCCTTTTGCAGTTTCTTCTAATCTGACCTGTGTTTGAACATGAAGGAGAATAAAGCCTTCCTTTTTTTTCCTTCTAATTACTGAAACTAAAACAGCTCTAACTATGGTTTTGTCTGTGTGTGAGAGAGAGAGAGAGAGAGATTGAGAGATTAACTTCAGCTGTTACTTAGAGAGGTAGTTTCCCCAGAGTTTGGTTTGAAATCTTGCAGGGAGTTGATGCCCCTGTGTTTTTATTCCTAATCACTATTTTATTCTCATTTGAAAGCCTCCACCTTCCTTTTCTGTCTGCTTCTGCTTTTAGAGTGAAATGAATGTGTGCTGATTTCAGTCTGCAGAAACTAGGCCAACCTCCAACTCTGGACCAGTTAGCGTATTTTAAACAAAAAGGTGTCCACTAATACCTGTTTTCTAGTATGCTTTTGTTCTTCTGTATTAATGCCATTTCTCCTCCTCTGCATGTCTTTCCTCTTCCTTCCTGTTGTGATTTGGTTTGAAATTACATCAGCCATGGTGCAGATTACACCGCCTAGCTTGCCTAGAAAGCAGGATCTTTAAAGCCAGGATTCCGCACTAGGGAGAGAGCTATGGTCTCATGTTTCTGCTGAGGTAACGTGGGCTTTTTCTGGTGGGGCTTCTGCCCTTTTTCCCAGTCATGCTGCTTCCTTGTGGCATGACCTGTGCCCCTTTGAACCTCAGCATTTACCTTGAACAGAGCTTCACGCCTGGCTGCTGTTGTTGCTGTGGCAGGGACTAAAGGCTGAGAGCTGATTTGTGCCCACAAGACCAACCGGGTCTTGTGGTGTTTCTGCTGACCTTGGGCTCTGAATATGAGACTGGGCTCTCTGGTCTTGTTTGAAGCAGCAGAGGCCCTGATGGAAAGTGCTAGAGATGGCAGGAGGTGACCGTCTAGGCAGCACAGTGACTTAGCATTCAGCATTGATGTGATGTGGCTGAGATACAGGATGCCTTCAAGACCTGGCATCACACAGTCGCCTCCTGTTGGAGTTTTACTGCAGGTGCAGGTGTAGGTGAGGGGGCAGGAGGCCCTAGGTATAAGCTTCTCCCAGCAGCCACCCATCAGAGGAGAGTTTGTTTGGTTTGGTTTTTTTGAGTCGGAGTCTCACTGTTGCCCAGGCTGGAGTGCAGTGGCATGCTCACAGACACTGCAGCCTCAACCTGCTGGGCTCAGGCGATCCTTCTGCCTCAGCCTTCCAAGCAGCTGGAACTATAGGCATGCCCCACCACGCCCGGCTCAGAGAAGCGTTTGAGATGAGTGGAACAGTGGGTTCCTAATGTTCTGTATAAATTCTTCCAAAAGATACTTCTATTCTGGTTAACCAAGAGTGAGCTAACATAGTGAATCCCAGTTTCCAGCGTGAGGGCTGGAATCTAAATTTGAAACAAGTGCCACCTGTGATGGAAAGAATAATGGCCCCCAAAGATGTTCACAGTCTGATCCCAAGAACCTATGATCCATCATCTGCTGGCAGAGGGGCTCTGCAGATGTGCTTATGGTTGGTGTCTGTGAGATGGGATCTTGTCCTGGATCCCTGGATGGGTCTAGTCTAATCACAGAGGGTCCTCAAAAGTGACAAGGAAAGCAGAAGAATCTGCCAGAGGGACTTGCTCTAGGAGGCCTTGGCTGTTTGTTGCCAGTTCTGAGGATGTGGAAGGGGCCCGTGCTGGGCTGTGGCCTCCAGAAGTTGGATGGTTGTCTCTACAGAGAGGAAAGACACTGAACCTGCTCCTGCAGCCACAGGAAACTGAGTTCTGTCAGCAGTTTGTGTGAGCGAGAAATGCTGCCTTGATTTTAGTACATATCAGACTTCTGGCCTCCAGAACTAAGATGATCAGTGTGTATTTTGGCCATCATGGGTGTGTAACTTATCACAGCAGCCACAGGAAGTAGATGTATCCCTTTTCCAAAAGGTCAAGAGTGTTTGGGAAGTAGGTGACCTGAAGGCTGGGCTCCTCAGGGTACCCGAGGATGCTGTGACCTCTCCAGCATCTTTGTAAAGGTGTAGCCTTGGATGTGGCAGGGCTCCTGGGGTCAGTCATGCGCCCTGTGCCCAGGCCCTGTCCAGCCCTTGCTCTATTGGAGGGACTGTGACACCCTTGGGACCCCTGGATGCCCTGGTGGGCCCCACACAATCTCAGGTGGAGAATCCACTCCTCTCTTCTGTGGAGGAGGGGACTGTGGGATAATAAAACCCAGAAAGTTCAGGTTTAAAGTCTGGTTTCAGCTGATGGCTGCAGAGATGTGCAGTTGGTGCAACGTGGCCCTGTTATGGGTTGATGTGGCCACCTCATCTTCCTGCAAGTGGCTCCACTTCCCCAAGAAGGTTGTCAGCTCTGAGTGTCACCCCAAGAACAAGGACGCCCAAAGATGGCACCCTGGGCCTGGGGAGGCACAATTCCTGGCAAACTGATAGAGAGTGTGGAAATAATTTATGAAAAACTTTTGAACAACCATATGTCATTGTTCTTGTAGAATAGTCAGATGGCCTAGAAAAAAAGCTTAACTGCCTTCTAGTTATCATTTGTAGGGATTTTTAATTTAAAGTTTGCCAATTTAGTTTGAAAGTTAAGATGAAAGAAACATACATGGCATTTAGAAGGAGCAGGTTACTTAAAAAATTAGATAGGTACTGTGTTGTCTGATCATAAAGAACAGTATATGCTCATTATAGACATTTTAGGGAAGACAGGAATATAAAGTAAAAGTAAAATAGCTTTCTACCCCACCTGCTAGTGGTGACTGCTTTGAGCATTTTGGTACACTTTCTAGGTTTTTTCCTTGTAATTTCTAAGTTTTATTTTTTCTTATTTTATTTGTGTGGTTTTCTTTTTGAGATAGTATCTTGCTCTATCACCCAGGCTGGAGTGCAGTGGCGTGATCATAGCTCACTACAGTCTCAAACTCCTGTTCTCAAGTGATCCTCTTTCCTCAGCCTCCCAAGTAGCTTGGATTACAGGCACCACCACCATGCCCAGCCCTGTTTTCTTTCTTTTGCCCAGGCTGGAGTGCAGTGGCATGATCATGGTTAACTGCAGCCTCAAACTCCTGGGCTCAAGAGATCCTCCTGCCTTGGCTTCCCATAGTGTTGTGATTATAGGCACGAGCCACTGCCCCGTCTCCTTTTTCCTTTATCAGTCTCCTTTCACAAAATTGGTGTAATTTTCAAAATTATGATTACATTAAAAAAAATTCATTCCACTGAGACGTGTTCTCATGCCCTTGCTTGTGAGGGCAGTGTTGGGGTTACTTGCTGGAGGGTGATGGCCCGCAGGCCCATGAGAGCCCAGCCTCCAGGACTGTCAAAGCTTCCTGCTGTGCTGCAGGCTAGCCGTCAGTTGGGGTGAGTGCATGCCCATTTTGTGAGCTGGTTTTTCCTTTTACCTCTCACTTTCTATGGAGAATGTCCAGCATTTATGAAGGGGGGCACATGTGAATTCCTGAGAGTGATGAACCCACCACCCACACTTCCCCAAGTCCCTCTCTGTCCCCTCCTGCAGTTTTGGAAGCAAATCCCAGACATAATTCTAATTGTATGTAGCTCAAAACGTATCTTTAAACTAGATACTTTAAACTAGGTAAATTAGGACTTAAGACACAACTATAATACTCTGTCACCTATTACAAATGACTAATTCCTTATCAAACACCTGATTTGCGTGCCCACTGCATTTTCTAACATTTTGACTACTGTGTTTCTGTGAATCAGGGTCCAGGTACCGGCCCACTATGCTGGTTAATAGGTCTTTAGTTAGTTATTTTTGGTTGATGTGTCTTATAAGTAATTGACCCTTTTTAGATCTAAGTCTCCTTAGCTCCTGTCTCCTGTGTTGTCTGTTGTTGAAGCTGTGGCCTGCCTGGGTGCCTGCAACTTGAAGCCCTGTGCCACATGGTATGTTAGAAAGGTGGCTCTTGGCCTGTGCTGGAACTGTGGACCAGGTCTACCTGTAACAGGATTTCTAGGGGATTCTTCTGCGGGTTAGGACTCCAGGAACCCTGCCATGAGATGATGTCCCAGTGTGCCTGGGATATGGACAAGGGTGAGGATTTTGTCCCTGAAGAACACTTTAAGAAGATAGTTGGATCCAGATGCCTGATGGGGCGCAGGTTTGGTTCTTTCTGAGGGCTGAGCTGTCTTCCATCGGGAGGTACGACTGGTCACTGGGGGCTGCACATAGGTCTTGAACGCATCAGGGGCTTTCTCAAGAGACTTCCCCACACCCGCCCCTCAGCTCTCCTCTGTGGAATTTATAAAGGAAAGGCAGGTCACGGGGCAAGGCTGTCTCTTCAGCAGTTTTCAGAATTTGTTTCCTAGTACCATGTGACGATGGCCACGTGTGTTTTTACGTGATTCTGGATGTATGGATTTATGCGTATCTGGTGCATTTGGC